CTCATTAGCAGTCACTAATTTTTTAGTAGTATATTAACTTTTAAAAATAGTACACTATTTTCGTTATTAGTTATTTCATATCTGCTTTCTCGGAAAATTGAAGCTTTGGAGTAGACGAAAACTGCGAATAAATAAAAAGTTGATATGATTTTTTTTGCTCTACAATAAAAATATACTATTAAGTATATGTATGATAAATAAAGTCTCGTAAAAATGATCAATTTTCATCTCAGTTTTTTATTTTTCAATTTTTCTAATAAAGTACTTAAAACAACTTTTGCATAATCAAAAATCGCTACCAATTTATTGGTAGGAAGCTTCCTCATCCTTAAATTTTTTTAACTCAATGGAAACATTTTTAGTTAGAAATTTTATGATCTCTTAAAACTTATTTATAAAAAGTTAAGATTTCGTACGTTAAAATAAAAAAACTAATTTTCAAAACTGATATGATCGAAAATAAAAGCGCTGCTAATTTATTGGCTCAAGATATTGACGCTACTGATAAAATTAAATGAAAAATAAACTGATAAAGTAAAATTTTTTCCATCGGTGATAGGTATCTCAAAACAAAAGAAAAGGCAAGATTTTGCAGATTACGCAGTTACACGTACACACGCACACAGACTGACATCTTAGCCACAGTACGTACTCCATTTCAATTTTAAACTGCATGAAACACATTTTTATTATGTAATCTCAATGTGTAATTTTTCATTCATCATAATAGCTTACTCTATAAAAAAGCAAAATTTGATTAAGATATTGCCTGTAATTTTTAAGATATAGATTTTTTTTCTAAGTATCGTTCGTAGTATATGACCTCTGAAAAATAGCTAAAAATAGATGTTTGTAATACTTTACCAACAAAAACAATTGATAACAATTCGTTTTACAGAAAATGAAAAATCTTTCTTTAAACTGAAGAAAATAATTTGACATCTAAAAATTATTTTTTTTTTGCTAAATCTTAAGGTCTAAGTAACGATATTTAATAAACATATTTAAGAACTAATGTAATATCGTTAATATTCTTGCATAAAAAAAATTTTTTAAGTTCATACAAACACGTCTATATTTTTTTCTCTGACAAAAAATGTAGCAGTCATGCTTTTGATGCCAAAATTTAATTTTTTACATAAAGTTAACAACTTGTGTTTCAATTGACTTTTGCACTTGATTTATAATCAGTTAAAAACAAATTAAATCATGAATTTTGGATAGAAGCATACCCTATACGAACTTCACCATTTATCAGCACTAACTGGAAAAGTTACTACTGTCTTTAAATGTTTTGCTGTAGCAGTTATTATACAAGATCTTAAATAAAAATATAACAAGAAATTTAAAATATCACAATATATCTATTTTCTACTATTTACTATGTACATACCTAAAAATTTCCATTGCTGTGCATGGTATATCATTACACTTTGCACACTCAGAGAACAAAAAAAAAAAAAAAAAAAAAAAAATACGTCTAGTTTGAAATTCATCATTTGTCTGTCTTATCATCCAGAGTCACGCAAAAGGAACTCACTCATTTTCCTAATTACTGCTAAGAGCAGCGGATAAACAGGTTCTGTGATTACTCTAGTCAAACTGGCATTCTCGGTGCATGTTTGAATTACGTAAGACACCGGAGCTACACATGCTTGGGAAAAAAGTAGAGCAAGTAACAAGTGAGGATGTATAATTACGTGTCCTGCGAGATTGAAGTAGCTGTGGTTCGTCAGGTTGATGACGGTCTTTTTGGTCGTCGCGGCCTTCATCTCGACTGTCAGTCCACCGTCGTCGCATAACTTGAATACAACAGTGGCCAGCACGGTACCGGGGAAGCCCTGGTCGCCGTCCTCGCTTGACAGTGTCATGATGACCAGGTCTCCCTGCACCACCGCGTCCCAGACTTTGTGGCTCCAGCCAACTTTTCCGCCGTGCAGGGTGTTCTCGCCGATGTTCTTCACCACATTGTACTCCGCGTCGTCTATCTTGAAGCGGCCTTTGCCGATCCGGTTCGCCACGCGGCCGACTGTGGCTCCGAAGTAAGGGTTGTCCTTGGCTAGGTAGCCTAAGTTCAAAAATCCCAAAGTGTTGAAATAAGTGGAAAAATTTTGGTGGAGAAAATTGCAACATTGCACGCAGGGCACCACCACAATATATGCTATGAAAATTTACTTTCAATCATCGACATTAATTTTTTTTTTTCAAAGTCTAGAAACAATTGGCCCAATTCAGCAAAAACGACGAAAAATTGTTTACATCTACAGTTCTAGAGGAAATAAATCTAAATGCATATGCTGTCTTTGCTGAATGCATGGGTTTGTATTTAGTTTAAGCTCGTTCAACCGTCAGGCTTACATCCTAAACATGAGTTCCTAAATTTTTTTAGTAAGTGGAGTAAGTTTAACTAAGTAAGTTACAATATATTTATTTCTTTTTAAATTGGCCTAATTCATAAGTTTTTACCTAATTAAAAGGAAATTATGTTTTTGTTTCTTATGAAACTAAATTACAAAAAAAATATAACGCGTTAGCTAAGATGTATTGTTGAATATTGTCTACGATATTCTGCAACCGTCTTCTAATAATTTTTTCTAGTTTCACATTTGACAGTAAGAAGTTCTTAAGTTGATTTCAAGGGGTTCTTAATTTTTTTTTTTTTTTTTTTTT